AGTGGAGACTGTAACTTACAGAGGAGAAAGCAATGTTGGGTCAGGAAAGGAGCTTTAGAGGCTAAGAGCAGGGACATTTCTAAAGTATGGTCAGAAATAAATAGACTTCCAAAGACTGGGAAAGTAATAAAAAATTTTGAATTTCCAAGGAGAAACACTATTTTCTGAGAATAAACTCTTTTTATTGGTTCTCATGTACTCCCAAATCCAAAATTGGAAGCTTTTCTAATTTCTCTTTATCTGCCTCTGTCCAAGGCAAATAAGCAATTACAAGGGTCCTACCTTACTTGCTTATTTGCCTTTGGGCATAAAAGTAGGTACTTGCAGCTGCTTAATAAAGAGCAATTAACCTGAGGGAAAAGCAAAACCTCTCAGGAAGTCTTGAAATCAACATTCCATAGCAGTTACAGCAGCTGCAGCTCTGTCATCACTGTGAGCTCACAGGACAGACAATAAGCATTTCCCAATGCTTATCTTATGCCAGACACCATGCAAAGGACCTCACTTGCGCTTGCTCCTGGCATTGTATAGAATGGTATAGAATGTTTTGCTTACAGGTGTTTGCAATATCTGTTCAGAGGCTGGTTAAGCACGATTTCTGCACAAAGAGTGAATTACTGCACTTGTCAGAACATTGATCTTCCCACTCTCGCTCCCGTACTAATACTGGAGAACTGGAACTGATGGTATTCCTTCTCTAGCTGAACCTTAGAGAAACAGACCCCACTGCCTACAAACAGATGGAGAACCTTCATGCTGTTTATGATGACACCATCTTGTCCTCATTAGTACAATATTAGTCCACAAAATCCAATGTAAAGTATTGTCTAGTTCTCTTTGGGAGGATTGCGGTTCCAGCTCAAATAATGAGTGCCTGCCGAGCAAGTGTGAAACACTCATCCAAACCCCATGGGAAAAGACAAATTCCATTATTAAGTAGTGGCTACTTAATAATGAGGACAATTGTAATAATAAAAAATAAGTATATCTGGCACTTACAAATCCCTTCTATTGAAGATACAGATTTTTTATGTTGATTTAGATACCTGTCCTCCTTTCTACAGACAGAAAATAAGCTCCAGATAAATGCTTCCCTTGGAAAGTTGAGTACCAGGCTGGATAAAGTGAGAAAAAAACTAGAGTTCAGTTACTTCTAGATTTGGATCCTATTCTTGGACTAGTCTCACATGTGAAGGCCCTCTAAAATCACAGAAAATCCTTAGTTCCCCAGCTTTTGGAGAATCAAAATGAAGTTCTTTGACAAGAGTACCCTAATATGTTCCCACTTCTACTCCTAGCGCAACACACCCTGATTCGCGTGTTCAATCTACCACCAACAGATCTCAGCTGTACATACTCCGGCTGTGTCTTAGCTCAGCACCTTTGGCCCAACTGTCTTTTCCCTTTCTCATCACTTGTTTATCATAAACTTATACCTGTCTCATGGACTCACCTTCCCCAGGAAACTTGTCCATATTTGCTAACGCTCGCTGCATTGCTCTTCCAATGCTTTTCTAGATTTTCTTTGATAGGTCTCTGATCCAGAAAACTGGAGGTCGGGAACTAAAGCTACTTCATTGTATAACCCTGGTATTTAAAAGTCCCTAGAGATATATCAATTGGATACTTGAATATTGAGGATAGATAATAAATGTGATTCCCGCAAATGGTAACTAAGCCTGTAGTTTGTGATGGCCTTGTTCATTTTTGTTACTGTTGGAGTGGAGGTTTTCTGCATACCATCATCTTCTGTTTGCTTTTTTCCTTACTACTCAGCACTTCCGGACATGGAGAACATGGCTTTGAAGCTAATTAAAATTGATGACTGAGCGTGACACCTCCATTTGCTAAGACAGCCCGGTTTCGTTTATTGAGCCTTTTGTAAGCAGCATTCTCTCAGCACTGGCATAAATCTTGGTTGTTCCACGAGGAAGCCACTCGTTCCTTTCATGTCTTGATCCATCACATACTATAGACAGTGTTAGCTGAGAAAGGGTTTTTACTAAATGAAAATGTCACCAAATGTGCCATAAGGGGGAAAACACCAGATGTCTATTTTCAAGGGAAGTAAAATCTATTCATTTTTTTTCAGATTCAGTTTGAAAATTGAGACCGAGTAGCTAGATAATTTGACCAAAATAACATATATATTTGTGTGCCACTCAATAATGTATTTTAAACCATGTTACTGAGATGTGACTCATATTTTTAAAAATCTGCACATATTTAATGTATAACACTGTAGAGCTGGGGATATAGCTCAATGGCAGAGCACTTGTCAAACATGTACAAAGCCCTGGATTCAGTGCTCAACATCACAAATTAATGACCACAATAACATAAAAAATACTTCATAAGTTTGAAAATAAGTATATATACATGAAATCATCATAATAATATCTGTTATAAACTTGGTTCTGCCAATCTTCTTTCATTATTTATCAATATTTGAATTAATTTAATTTCCTCTTCCTTTTAGTTATCTAAACTTTCTTAAACAGTGAATAATTACCAATAAAGCAGGTCATTCACAATAAAACCTATAAAAAATTATTGAAACTTGCTCAAATTAATATAATGTTCAGATCAGGGCTAACAATAATGAAACAAAATGTTCATTAATTCAGAGTGAGAAATTAGTGTTATTATTGGGAACTGAAAGAGCTACTGATACTCATAATAAAGACTTGGGGATCAAGACAGTGAGTAGACTTAATAGCATTGTTATAAAATGCAGTTTGGGGCTGGGTGCTGGTGGCTCATGCCTGTAATCCTAGCTACTCAGGATATGAGATCTGAGGATTATAGTTCACAGCCAGCCTGGGCAAGAAAGTCTGTGAGAAAGTCTGATTTCCAATTTACCACCAAAGATCCAGAAGTGGCACTGTGGCTCAAGTAATAGAGTACTACTTTGAGCAAAATATCTCAAGGACAGCAGCTAGGCCCTGAGTTCTAGCCCCAAGACCAGTCACAAAAATAAATAAATAAATAAATGACATTTTGCTTTCTAGTAACCTTACGACTTCATATTTAATATATCATTTATTCATACTTAATATATCATTTATTCTGTTTCCTTTTGTTATAATTCTTTATTGTACATGGGAGTACATGAGCCTTTTCAGATGAAAATATTGGTAAAAATAGACATATTGATATAATTTCACAAGAGAATAAAAACTTTCAGAACTGAAAGTCTTGCAATTTCAAATGATGCACTGGCTATTTAAAATATTAACTTGCCAAAAATGTTAATAAAATATTAATTCAACAAAAACTAGTTTGCAGAGAGAAAATACTTTCCATGATACATTGACTGGGAAAAAAACAACTGTTAAGGATTAGAATTTTCAGTATTTAATGGGAATGACTCTAACTTCATCTATCAGTTTTATATTACTTATAACAGATCAATAAGCTATTTTTGTACCATTTAAGCAACTGGGAAGATTTTATGAAAGTACCTTGGGGTAGGTGGACTGGATTGGATTCAGAGACGGTAATGGGTCAGCTCATTGCCAAGTTCAAATTTAATCTTCATTTTCATCCTCTGTTTTGATATATATGTGTGTATATACATATATGAGATTTTTGGCATGTGAACTGAAACAAAATTACCAGTAATCTAAAAGAATAATAGGGCTTCTTTTAAATTGCTCTGATTACACACTCATAACACAGAGCACTTGACCTCTAGTCACCAAAATGTGTGATATTTCTCCCTTCTGGCAACCAACTCTGTCTTGTGCTTCCGTTTAATTCCTTGCACATAGTGTCAGATTCCATGTTTGAGAGCTCAATTCCACAGGCTGCCCCCAGAATCAGATACTAATCACAAGTAATAGGCTGAACCACTCTTCTAATGGCTTATACATACAAAGGAATGAGCTGCGGTCCAACTATCCTTCTAAGGTTATACCACCAATGACTAGAAGACGTCCCAAGGAGGCCCCTTACCTCTCAAATTTACACTAGTCCCAATACTGTCAGGCTGGGTGCTAATCTTAGTTCAAGGCTAACACTCAACCACTTGAGCACAGAGTCACTTCTGGGTTTTTTTGGTGGCTCATCGGAGGTATGAGTCTCATGGGCTTTTCTGCCTGGGCTGTCTTTGAGCCACCATCCTCAGATCCCAGCCTCCTCAGTAGTTATGATTACAGGCATGAGCTACTGGCATCTGACCAAACTCTGTGGTTTTTTTTCCTTGGGTCTCCCTTCTAAGAAATGAAATTCCTAGCCACTAGCCAATTCATTACCTTACAAATATACTGCTCACTCTGGTGATTCCAAAAATTTTAAGAACTTGTATGTCAGGAAATATCAAAAGACAAAATATACATTTCATGATACAGCCTCAGTGGCTTTGAAGTAAAGCCTGGTACCTAGGCTATGTTGTCCCTCAAAGAATAACCCAGAGCAAATCTGATCTTCTAGACAATCCTAGAGAAATACTTTTTTTCACCAAGGCCAAACAATAGCTATATATTTTTGTAGCTGAGATGCTGGCAAAGCAAACCGCATTAATCTGGTCCATGATTTAATGCTGCCCATAAATAGTGCCAATCTGATTATACATACCTTTCTAATACATGACTTCTTTCAGAAAATTCTGTCTCTCTTTTCTAATTTTGTTCTCGCTCATTTTCTTTCTCCACTTCCAGAATTTTTCACATGTATTTCTATTCCTGGTAATAATAATAATAATAAGCATTTTGGTTGAGCTGGTTTTCACACTTTTTTTAAGAATGTATATTCCTTCTCACTTTCACGAGCAAGACTAAGTTTGGATGCAAATGATAGAGGGAGATATTTTTGTCATTATGCCTACTGTGGTCATGAAAACCAGGTTTCCATTGGCTCGAATTGTTCTGTCTTTTTAGTGGCTAGGCATAATTTTAATTTTTCAAGTGGATGATATTTATGAATGGGGGTCGTGCATTTTATCATCATCCTCTTTAAACAAAAATGAGTAATGATTTTTTTTTCTTCTTCTGTTCCAGCCATATCACCTACCCTTGACAGCGCATCCCAGAGTCTGCAAAGTCTTAATGCAAGCTTGGGGACTAGTAAGAATTTCTTTTTACTATCTTCGGTGATGTTTTCCATGTGTTAGCATAACTCAAGCTACTATCCTTTCTCTGCTTTACTTAGGATATTAGTAACAGGAAATGTGACTGACAAAATCTTTCAAGCAAGCAAAATAATAAAAATCAAGCTTTATTTTCAACTTCTCTACAAAGGTGTTTCTTTATCTTTTCAATTTTGCTTGTGCACGGAGGTTAAGTAAAGCCGAGAGGAAAACAAGGTTCATCAGTTCAACAACTATTTATTGAACTTAGAAAACTATCTCTTTCTACAAATCCCTGGGAAATTTTTGTTTGTTTTCTATTCTTTTTTGTCTTGCCTTTTTTTCACAATAAGTATTATTTATTAAAATGAGCAATTTCAATAAATAAAACATTTTACTTTTAATTGGAACAGTTTTAACATCTTGTCCAAGCTGACTACAAGTGCTGGTCTCAGTGATCTTCTTACCCCAGATTCCTGAATGGTTGGGACTATAGTAAAGGCCCACCACACCAAGCTTTTCAATATAATTTTTTTTATTTGTGAAGATACTGTACAGAGGGGTTACAATTACATGGGCAGGATAATGCGTACATTTCTTACCAAGCATTGCAGCCTCCTCCTTTTGTTTACCCTTCACATCCCTTCCCAGCCTCCCCCCTCCCCCCCAGACCCAATCCTTCTCCTTCCCCCGCTTTGTCTTGCCTTTTTTATATTGAGACAAACAGCAGTGACTAAAGTCCTTTGTCACTATAACTCATCACCAAAGATATGGTCTCTTCTTCATATATATTCTTTATTTCAGAGTGTGTGTGTGTGTCTGTGTGTCTGTGTGTGTCTGTGTGTTTGTGTCTGTGTGTGTGTGTGCATGCATATGAGCACATATGTATATTCATATATGATTTTATGGATTCATGTTTTTAAAAATTGTAACTTTAAAGAATCTAGATTTTAATATCTTCCAAGATTTCTTCAATTAGACTCTCTATAAATCCTTTCCTTTTTTTTTTTGGTCAGTCATGTGGCTTCATCTCAGAGCTCCGATGCTGTCCCTGAGCTCTTTCACTCAAGGCTATCATTCTATCACTTAGAGCCAGGCCTCCACTTCTGGTTAATTGGAGATAAGCATCTCACAGACTTTCCTGCCTGGGCTAGCTTTGAACCATGATCTTAGCTTCCTGAGTAACCAGGATTACAGGCATGAGCCACCAGTGCCTGGCTTATAAATCCTTTTTTAAATTATTATGACTACAATGGTAAGAGGCTAAACTTGCCTCTCCAATTAAATTGTCTTGTGCTTCAAAATCCTGATTTCCTGTAAGCTATCTCTTCTTTCTTAAATGATAGTACCTTGTCTCTCCTGTCTTTTGACAACTTTCTCTTCATTGGTAAGTGTAAGTTCAAACATCAACTCCCCAAATCCACTAGGCCAAATTTTCAGGTTTCTGTGTTTTGGTGAAACTTTGTTGTTCCATGATGATAATGATCTTCCGGTATTTTAGTGTGTATCCTAGTACTTTTCCTGGAATTCACTGGGTTGTGTGGGCTGAATTAATTACTAGTTAATTAATTGTCTTGAGTTTCTAGCTAAAACAAAAAAATTCTCAAGTAGATTGCGCATCCCTGTCTGTATCCCTCCTTCTTTTAACTTTGTTCCTCTAGGTACCCAGCCGATTGGATGTGCTACCCATTTTCAAGGAAGGTTTTGCCTCCTTAATTGTTATCCCGAACACCAATCCTCTCTGGAAACACCCTCATAGACATACCTAGGAGAATGTTAGTCATCTTTTAGAAATCTTGCAATCCAGTCTAGTTGGCAATCAAGATTAACCATCATAGGCCCATGTATTCATTTCCTGCATTCTTGCATCATTATATCTCCTTTACCCAAAATTGCTTCTAGTCTGAGATGATCTTTTTAGATTTTGTCCTGTAAGATATGTTTCACAAAAGTCTTCCTCATTCTTCCTCAGCCTTGGAATATCTGTAGCCCCTCCTTCTTTCCTTTCTCTTTTTTATACATATAAACATGTATCTATCCTTAAAGTTAAGGATTATATAACATAAATTCTTGTATTCTACAGTACTTAATAAGTATTTGGGACATGCTAAGTGTTTAATACAACAGTTGTGCAGACATTCACAGAAGCATGAATAACATAGAAGTTAGTCTTCTCCTAATAGCTACTTTGGCTATCACACCATTTCCAACATGCCCTTCAGCCACCATCTGTGAAAGGAGAGAGATAATGATATACAAAAGTAGAAATTTTTCTTGTCCACTGCTAAGTATAACTGCTTATAATATTTTTCCAAGAAAAAGTTTCTTTCAGGTAATGAAAACTATTTTTGGTCATGGAATTAGGGTCATTGGGATACATTGCAGGGTATCCTTCAACTGCTAAGAGACTAACGTCAGCCCTACTGGTAACTCACCAGTGCCCTTGCAAAAGCTGAACCATTGTCTCTGCTTGAAGCATTCCTTTATTTTCAGATATGTTCAACATTAAGGACTTATTAGCTGACACCAGAGTTAAAGGAGGCACAGTAAGGGGAGTATGCCATTGCAGGGATGGTGTCTTAGAGTGAATGGCAGTGTTTCTTTGTTACAACGAACTTGAACTTCGATATGCATTAAAGAGCAGCACTGACCTTGGGCTTTGATATTGAAGCTGACTGAATTCTTGATAGTGTCCTTGTTTATAACAGATTCGCCAAATGATTCAAATAAGTAAACACAAATCTTCATGATCCTTTCCACGGAAATAATGTTTGTGTTGGCTCTCTCTCACTCGAACAAGTGGTGAGTGTTTACTGGCTCACATGCAAACCTAATCTCCAAATGATGCCAAGTGTTGGAGAGGTTTTCTTTGTACCCCTTTCTTGCTTCTCACTAGGAGGCAGACAGGTGGAATAGAGGTACTGATAAGACAGATTACCATGATTCGTAACCCATCAACTGCAGAGTGAAGATGTTGTCAGTGAAGTGTGCTGTATCTGTCCTTAGATAAGCAGAATGAAGTATAAATAATGCATCATGGTAATTCATGCATCTCTAAGCAGTGACTATTTTCCAGCTTGAAATACCCAGATCCCTGTTAGTACTTTATTATAAGCTTCCTGACTTTTACATGAAATAGGAAAAACAAGATTCCTTGATGAACTCAAATGATAACCAAATAGAAGAGAATTTCATTTCCAAGTATGTTTTATTTCCTTACTATTATTCACAAACTTCCTGAAGGCCTAGTCTGAGCTCTTAGAAATCTCAGAACCCAGGACACTGTCATTTGCACTACATACATCTGCTGATTGACCCTATGCACATGATTCATAACTTAACCTAATGAAAACAAAATCAGAATAATTAAGAAATATTTTAAAAATACAACCACCAGGAGACATGTGCCCGGATGTGGCTTACCTTTTACAAAATCACATTTGGGTTTCTTATATTGCTCTTGTCACTAAAGTTCCCAATGCAGGGCAGTTTGAAGAGTGTCAAATACTTATTACACATTCGGGGCTAGAGGCATTGTAGAAGCGAAGGAGAGGCACAGTAAAGATCGATGATGACTCTGCTCCTGTCAGCAGGCTGGAAGGTAACCTCATAATTGATTACATATGGATCTGGTGAACTTAACCCAATATGTTCCACTTACTCTCCATTCTTCTCTCTGTAAGATATGTGGCCCATGTCACATGCCAAGAAGATGCTGGGTTTCAGTTGATAGGTGATTAAATGAAGTTTTGACATGCAAGTTAATATGGATGAATTTATATCACTCACAATGAAGTCAAAGCTTTCTTTTTTTTCACCCAGGTAGATAAACGTATGATAGATCTAAAATACATCCGGGTTAAATGCAATGAAGACAGAAATTACTATTTTGTTACTCTGTACTTTGCACCTAGAATGATGTCTGGCATGTAGTGACTATAAATAAAATATAAAAAAATATATAAATATGTGAAAGAAAAGAGCAGTTCTGTAGAATGGATATTCTTGGTACCTAGGTGAATAGATGTCCCACAGACTCTGTGTCTAGACAGCAAACTCTTCCACCATGATAAACCTGCTGCCTGGCCAGAGGTTCTTGGCCATGTCCTGTGCAGCAAGCAAGACACACAGTCATCACCAAAACACTAGACTCCAGGATCTTTCCTACCCATGATTTTCAAATTAAGAGTTATGGTGGCAATCGTGTTTTGTATAGTTTCTTTTCATCATGATGTTTGTGGCTTTGAGGTTTCTTTTCTTTTCTTTTCCTTTTTGGCTTCTTAGAGTCTGAAACTGTTGCTTATAGATGTATATTATGACAATGACTTCTTTGATCACATATTCAGTTTCCAACAGAAGAGGTAAAATATCTGTGTTTAAAGTGAAACAATTCTATCTGCTTGGGTATATTATAAGCACAGCTGAGCTTTGACTATAATTACAGTATGTGGCTGATGCTGCCAAGAACACAAGCAATTATAACATTACGATTGAGAACCATCAAAGTAGAAAACACTGGAGCTGTATGGTGCGGTTTAAGGTGGCATTATAGCCCTTCTTCAGTTATCTGTAGGACTGATGGTAACCAAAAGCATTATGATCTAATGTAATAAGATTAAGGATCAGAGTGAAAATGTAGGGAAAATCTAATGCCTTTGCTTTTTCATATGCTCCTTGGTGTCTAAGGTCAAATGTAGAGTAGAGCAGTTCACCAACTTGAACGACATGAAGGAAATTATAAGTAGAAACAAACATAGAAATCAACTCTCTAGCTTGTTTTTCCCTCTACTCTTTCTGGCAAAAAGTCTTTGCATATGTATCAAGTGCTACTTTTCTTTTCCCCTGGCTGGAAAAAAAGAGAAGGAAGACCCTATCTTAAAAGCAACCATAACCAGAAGTGTGGTTCAAGTGGTAGAGCACCTGTGTAGCAAGAATAAAACCCTGAGTCAAACCCTATTGTGTCAAAAAAAATTAACTGACATACATTTCACACACAAA